AGTTGATCAAGTTGTATTTTAGAGTACTTCCCATAGAAACATAGTGTATTGGCACTAAATGCAATCTACCTGTGGACTCAGACCAGAAATCCACTTTGATTTGGGGAGTTTGTGGCAGGTAGATGGTGGTAAGGGGCTCAAAGCGGGCTCTTCAGCAGGAGACAAAAATCACTGGGGAGATGGGGAGAGCCTGTGCATGAGCAAAGGAGGAACTGAGGGAACCACCTAGCTTTTTTATAAAAAAATATTTTTTTTTGATTCTTAGAGAGAGGAAGGGAGAGGGATAGAGAGATAGAAACATTAATGACGAAACAAGACCATTGATCAGCTGACTCCTACATCCCTACCCCCTCGACTGGGGATTGAGCCTGCAACCTGGGCATGTGCCCTGTCTGGGGAATCAAACCAGTGACATCTCGGTTCCTGGGTCCATGCTCAACTGCTGAGCCACACTAGCTGCATGGGAACCACCTACCTTTAAGGCAGGGATGTAGGAAAGGAGTACACGCAACTCGCTGCAATGGAAGAAACAAAGAGGTGGGCATTGGCATGGGAGCCAAGGGAGGAGAGAGTCTGAAGAGGAGGGAGAGGTTCAAGATGGCAAAGGTGACGGGAGGATAAGTTACATAAGAGCTGGAAAGCACCTTCGGGTTGTGCAATGTGAAGTTTGGTGGTGACCTTGGTTGTAGTGGTGGTAGCTGGATGCAGAAGGTCGAGTGCTAAGAGGGAAAGACAGAGACATGGGCCAATGGGCAACTCTTCCCAAACGTTTGGCAGTGCAGGGGGAAGGCAAGAGGCTACTAGCTAGAGAGGGATAACTCCTCTCGAAACAAATTTGACCCTAGTTTACAGAAAAAGACAATATTACACAAGCTGGGTTTACAGGCAGACCCAGGGATATTTAATCTTTCCTAGGAAAAATGACATAAAGCTTCATTTCTATCCCCCATTTCTTTCTTTCTTTCTTTCTTTCTTTCTTTCTTTCTTTCTTCCCTTAAAAAATATTTTTTTATTGATTTCAGAGAGAAAGGGAGAGGGAGAGAAAGAGATAGAAACATCAATGATGAGAGAGAATCATTGGCTGACTCCTGCAAGGCCCCCACTGGGGAATGGGCCTGCAACCCAGGCATGTGCCCTTGACAGAATTGAACCTGGGACCCTTCAGTCCGCAGGCAGGCGCTCTATCCACTGAGCAAAACCAGCCAGAGTGGGAAGAATTTCTTTTAATTGCTGAGACAAAATTTTACAACTGTGACAATGACAGCGGTTGTTCTGGTTGTTTATATAAGTAATGGCTAAATTTATTTGGAAGCAGGATTCCAAATTGTAGCGAGTAATACAATCAAAAGTCCAGAATTAGAAGGAGGAAGAGAAAGAGAGAGGATAAAACAGGAAAACTATCATTGCTGCTATCACTCCTTAAAGAATATTGAAATATTGGATCATATTCTGAAAACTCAAAGTGCTCTGAGTAACTGATCAATCCCAAAGGGCAGATTAAGTTTCTCCTACTTTTAGGAGGAAAACCAGATTTAAAATTACCTTTGATTTGTTCTTTTGCTCTATTGAATCTTTGAGGGAATTTGGGTGTAGGCACCATATCACCTATACTGTTACTCAAGGTAAGAATTCCATGCTGAAGTTTGTGGCCTTGGGGCTGTAGTTATCACAGTCTCAAAGTAGATTACAGTTGCATAATTATTGCAACACCTAATGTGCAAAGAATAAGGAAATTTGCATCTGAGTGTAAATATTTGCAGCTAACGCGTTTTTGGGCATAAAGATGGTTTCCAGAGGTGAAGGGCCTGTATAATTCCTAAAATAAACTTTCCCCAAATGAGAGAGCAAGTAAAAATATTCAGCTAAGAAAACACAAAGCTATGCAGAAAGGATATCGACAAAGGAACTTTCCTTAGGTTGCTCTCACATTGGTGGGTAATTGCCTTAAGGTAAATCCCCAGTGTTCTAGAATATTCTCAGACCATTCAATTCTCTAAAATACATTCACTGTTTTTGATGAATCAGCATTTTGAAAAACTTGTCTATATAGGTTAGAAGTAAAAAAGCTAGCCTTGAACAAATATCTGCATATCTATATCTGTCTTGTAGATGAAAAATATTGCTGTTTTTCCTGAATTTAAACAGCCATCCATGGAGTGGTCTCTAGCCTGAGAATAATTCCCTATTCCCAAAATTTTGAAACAGAATTAAAATGTGTGTGTGTGTGTGTGTGTGTGTGTAGTGGGGGTGCAGACTATAGAGTTCACTCCAGATGAAAATTGTGTCCAGGATGGAGCAAATGGATTTATGGAAAGGGGAACTCTTATGTTAGTTCGACTCCTAGTTGCCAGTCAAGGTGACTCATTTGGGCATCTGGAGATCAATGTACCTGTGCAGAGACTGAATCTTCACTGGCTATTTTCCTATAAGATGCCTAAACCCCCAATTTTCTTCTTACTGTCTCTCAGAACCTGTCATTTTTGAAGTTCTACGTGAGAGCTGAGTTATAAGCACAAAGGAGGAAGTATGCTATGTAGTGAGAGAAAATTAACGTAAGAATTTCTCAGGAAGAACTTAGTGAATTGTGACAAGTTCCTTGAAGTTTCTCTGGGATAGATGTAGTTTCTTCTTCATTAACTAAAATGATTGCTGATAGATTAAATAGAGAAGAGCTGGAGACCGGGATGGCAGGACACAGGCTTTATTGGGAGGAAGAGACCCCTGCCAGCTGCTTCCAGAGAGAGGGGCGGAAGAGAGTGAGGGTCGGGGTACAGGCACCTTTAAGGATAGGGGACAGGGCTTAGGGCACTCAGCACACGCTGATTGGTGATTAGGGACCTAGGTACTTAGGAATGGGGGGGGGGGTTTAGGGTATTTGGCAAGTGCTGATTGGTGGTTCAGTGCCCAGGTATGTCTGGCTGCAGGTGGGGTTTACATTTGTCCATCAACTGGAGGAAGAGGGGATCTATCAATGGCTGGTTTCGATTGACATTCTCCTGGTTGGTTCAGCTGGTGAAAGCTGGTTCCAGCTAACTTGGATACTTGCTACATGTCCAGAGAGAGACAAGCTTATCCTGTGTGGGGAGAGTTCATCTCGGGGGAGGAGGGGGGCCCTTTCCACCACCTCCTCCTGCCCCACAGAGTCCCTTTTTGTTGAGGCGCTCACCCTGTTGGCTGTGTTCAGGGTCTAAAATGATCTAGATGCCTCCGGCAGGTGAGGGCAGAGGTGATGTGGAGGTTGGTAATCCACCTTTAGGGCCCAGTCACCGTAGTTCCGTCTTCCCTGTCCCTGAGAGGGTGGGTGGGACAGCTGGCCTCTTCCATGGGGCGGAGATCTTTCAGCCTTGACCCCTCTCTTATGACAGGGGCCCAAGACCCACACCTGCCACCTCATTCCACACCATTCTCACCAGATCCGTTCCTTTCACTGTAACAGGCCAGGCCTGTCCTGTCTTGATGGCGCGCTTCAGGCATGAAACAATTAGGGAAATTCCCTACTAAGCTCTTGCTGGAAAACCCCAAATGGAAGACTCAGAGCTGATGGGAAATCTGGGGGGAGCAGACCTGGGCACTGCTGGTGGAGAGCCGGAAGAGCCAGGAGAAAGTTGCTGGGAGCTTCTTTTGTTTTCTGGGCCTTTACAGCTGTTGGTGTAGGATCACACAGGATCTTCACCGGAGCGAGTGTCCACAGTGAAATGACTGCCTTACCTGTTTTATCTCTGAGAAACTTCTTTGTGTAGCTGCCAGGAACCTTGACCAACTTAAAAAAAAAAAAAAATCACAAATGCTCCTTACTGCGTTTGAGCATCTTTGTGGCTCCTTTCAGTTGCCTGAACAGAAATGTAATGTTATGTACAACAGAAATATATTTAGTGTCTCCCTATAATTTTACACACACACACACACACACACACACACGCACACGCACACGCACACGCACACACGCAGTTTTCTTTTATAACTTCCGCCCCCATCTCTTTGCCCCAAACCTTGTAATAATAAGCTCATTCATTCCCAACGCCAGTTGGCTGCGGTGTGTTTAACCCGGTTAGTCCTGCAATGCTTTCCCGGGGAAAAAGAGATGTTTGGAAATGGCACTGGGAAAGGAGCAAGCTGGCTCTGCAGGGAACACACTACCAGTGAGACGTGCAGGACCAGCAAACCGGCCCTGACTCCTAGAGAAATGCTCGCTGCCTGGACGCCCCCAGCCCCTCGGCCCACGGGACGGCAGCCTGCTGCCCTTTGGGTTTGGACATATTCCAGTGCCTGTGAGCAGGCGGTTTAGTCAGGAGCGAAAACTGGTCTGAAGAGTTGTCAGGCGTGGCGATCGCCTGATTGCACACACATTGCTCCTGGGTTTTCCTCCTCTCAGAGAGGACTAGGCATGAATAGGAATGTGTGTGTGTGTGTGTGTGTGTGTGTGTGTGTGTGTGTGTGTGTGTGTAGCGGCGGGGTGGGGCCGGGAGCGGCGGAGATATTCCCCGCCCTGGGAGGAGAGGCAGAGAGAAGAAAACCCTCCTGGGGAGCGCGGTGCCTCTCCCAGTCCCCTTCCCGGCGCTCCCCTCCCTGCCCAGGGCGCAGGCCGCGGGAGGCGGAGGGTCCGTGCGCCTTGGCACCGCAGGGGGACGCGCGATCCTCGTCTCCGGGAGAAGAGGCCACGGGACCCGCGCAGAGGACCGTCTCCGGCACCAGCCCCGCGCCCGCCCCGCGCCCGCCCGTCCTCCCGGCGTCTACACCGCGGCCAGGCGCGTCTACGCGCTCCCATCGCCGCTCCAGCGCGCAGCTCCCGCGCCCGGACGCCCAGATCCGCCTCCCGCGCCTGAGCCAGAGGGTCCTCGGCGGCGTCTCTAAGGCGGCGGCCCCTGCTCGAGGCTCCCCCGTTCCCCCGGGCGCCCGCGGGAGCAGGTGCGGGGCCCCGCATGCGGCGGCCCGGCCCGCGGGGGTAGCAGCGGCGCGCGCTCCGCCCTCCCTGCTCCGGCCGCTCGGCTCCGCGCGGGGACATGTCGGTGGCGGCGGGCAGCGGCGAGGCGGCCGGCGGTGCCGGCGGCGGGCGGGTGTTCTTCCAGAGTCCCCGGGGCGGCGCGGGCTCCTCCCGGGAGGACCCGGCGCCCGTGGCCCCCGCGGCCGGGCAGGCTCCGCAGCAGCAGCAGCAGCAGCAGCCGCGGCGCCACCAGCAGGGAAAGGTGACGGTGAAATACGATCGCAAGGAGCTCCGGAAGCGCCTGGTGCTGGAGGAGTGGATCGTGGAGCAGCTGGGACAGCTGTACGGCTGCGAGGTACCTGCGGGTGGGGGCCGCCCTCTTCCCGTGTGCCCTGTGCCCACCCGGGGATTCGCCAGGGCCGGGCGCGCACCGATCCCGGCTCCCCGGGACCCAGCGCCGGGGCCCGGCGCTGCGCGTTCCCGTTCCAGGGTGCCCCTTGGCCCCGAGGAGCCGCGAGGGGGACGCCTCCGCCTGGGCTCAGCGGCCGGTGCCCCCTTGCTGGCTGCGGGGGACGGTGTGGGGTTCGGTCTTGTTAAGCCTATTGCATTTCTGGGTCCCCAGGGGCTCACCCCAGCTGCGCTTAACCTCCCCCGGGAGAACAGATCTCGCTCCCGGGATCCTGGTAGTCCTGATTGTTGTGGCGAGGGAACCGAAAGGAGAGGTTCTGGGGATCTCAGAGGCCCCCTCTGCCCCTGAAAGTCTACATCCATCCACATCAGGAGCGGAACGCGTTCCCTCTCCCAGCCCCCACCCCCCACCCCAAAGCGTGTCCGCATAATTAATCCTTTCATTGCCCAAAGCTGCACACGTTGAGCTCAGTGGAAGCGGCTTTCTTGCTTCCTGGCCAAGCTCAGAGGCTCCTGTGGACAGTGCAGAATGAGAGCCTCAGGCCACCTCGCAGGGCGGGAGCCTGGGTGCCAGGAAGGTAGCTCAGCTGTCCGGGGTCAGGACGCTGTGACCTCCCGCCAGTCAGGGGCGCAGGCCATAGGCCACTCGGCCTGGCTTGTTTACATCGGATGCCGGGAGGAATGCTTAGAATAAGCGGTGACAAAGGTAGGCTAGAGAAAGGACCAAAGCCAGTATGATCCCTCCTCAGAGTCTTTAACGACAGCAATTTACAACGAAGCACTCTACTTCTCTTGCGGGAGTGGAATTTAGAAAGGGTGGAGGGGTGAGGAGGATTAGTGATCTGGGACATGGCGTCTACGTTGAAGCCAGGTCTGTGTCCACACAGCTGTTAAGCCTCTTCGGTGACAACGGAAGCCAGATGGACTCACTGGCTTTCCCATTGGATTGGGAAACGAGATGTTCACACCTTTTGTGGCCACCTGTGAATGCCTATCTTCCCTAACATGCTCATCACACAAGGAAACAGTGTTCTCATTGTGGACTGCCGCTGAAGGGTTATGGTGTAATAAGGCCTGACTATGTGACTCATGGGCTTGTAAAGTATATTGGTTTTCCAGCCCAGCTCTTATAAAAGGCCATTTTAATGTCACACAAAAACTGGCCAACGTCGGAAGTGTTTGTGTTTTTCTTAAATAGGAAGTTGGCAAAACTCTCCAAAGGACGATAAACTTGATTTGGGTGGGATTACTGTGCGCTCTGTCTTGCTTCTGTAGAATCCAGTTGATTTTCACTTATTGGTTTCAGTTGTTTCATACAGGCCTTTATACTCCATTTCGAAATGGAAAGATTTGGGTTCATAGAAAAGCTGTTGCTGAAATTAACAATGGAGATTGAACAGATGAAGCAACTCGAGAGCATTCCAGACTCTCAGTGGGTTGGCAATTCACATGTTTTAAAAACTCTTCACAATAATTGGGGAAAAACCAGAGGATTGATTGTTTACCGTATTGAACATGTAGGTATATATATATTTTAAAGCAGTGGTTCTCAAACTTCCTAATGCCGTGACCCTTTAATACAGTTCCTCATGTTGTGGTGACCCCCAGCCATAAAATTACTTTCGTTGCTACTTCATAACTGTAATATTGCTACTGTTATGAATCGTAATGTAAACATCTGATATGCAGGATGTCTTAGGCGATCCCTGTGAAAGGGTCATTTGACCCTCAAAGGGGTCTCCACCCACAGGTTGAGAACCGCTGTTTTACAGGGTAAATATGACCTTGAATCTTTTCTTTTGTATTTCGTCTTCTCTCACTTTAGACCTCCAGCGTGTAGCAAACAGCTTTGATTTGGAAGATAGGTTTTGTGGTGAAATGATACAAGTTGCTGTGTGCTACCCTCCTGTCATTAAAATGTGGCATGCACTTCTCTACCAGTTGTTTGTCCTGTCATTTTGGAGTGAAGGAAGATAAATCACTGAGAAGGCTGTTGGCAATTTGTAATGAGTATGTTTGATGGCACGCCTCATTTAATAATCGAAAGCACATGGACAAATAATTAGCCATTGTCCTCTTCCATCTAGTTCTCCCTGGTAGGGCTCTCTCTTAGCCTCGTTTCTCCGGCCTGGTAGGTAGCCTTTCCTTGCTGACAGCTTTAAGGACCTTCCCTGACTTAAAGCTCTGAATCTCCTGAAAGTTAGGAAATGCCTTTTTTTTTTTTTTTTTTTTTTTAACACTTAAAGTTGGTAATTTTTTTTCAAATATTTATCACATGATATGGACACAGAAAGCCAATATGCCTGAGCTAACAGCCAAGTTGGGGGTGGGGTTGGGGGAAGAGGGGTTTGAACACGTATTTAATTTCAGAAGAACTTTGATCAGGCAGGCCAGCAGTGAGATGACTTGTCCTTCACGGAGTAGGAAATAATGATCTCTTGGAGCAGCATAAAGCATGAGATTTAAAATTAGAACAGGGTGGGAAGGAAGAAATACGCTTCCTGGCTGTGGTCTTGTCGGGAAGTTCGCACTGCCATCAGTTTTGTATGGAGGACGATGCAAAGACGGGATATGAGGAGAGCTCCTAGGTGCCAGGCACTGTTCTAGGCACTCATTCACTTAATCTTTACAGCAACCCTGTGAGGAGGGTGCTGCCAGTGTCTCTGTCTTACAGATGAGGAAACGGAGACCGAAAGGTTAAGAGGCTTTCCCAGCTCACATGGTGAGCGGCAGGGTGGGGGCGGGAGCTGTACCCAGGCCTGCCTGAAACTTGGCAGGATCTCATGCAAGAGAACAGATGGAGGCCCTCACAGCACACATCTAAATACTTTAAAGTTATAAATTAAGTCAACAAACGAGCATTTATCTACCTACCTTGACACCAATGGCTTCAGAATGGCCTGGAAGGTCAGGTTTGGATTTGGAATTCTCAGGCTTCCCTGAGCTCCGAGCTGGAATGCGGTTGGGGGAATCTTTCCTGGGCCTGGGGTCTGCCTCCTTTTGCCTCCCACCCCCAGTGCAGTCCCACCTGGCGAAGGGTATAGTGTCCATGTGCATGTCCAGTCTTTGTCCACCCCCGCTGCCACCCCTGGTTCAGTGTTCATTGGGAGGACAGATCCCGGAGGAGCCCTGGAAGTGGCTCGGTGTTTGATCAGGGGATCCTGAGGACCTGGAACATAGCCTAAAACCAGTTTTGGCTGGGTCCACTGGGTTCCAGGAACTCTTCAGGAAAATGAGTGTGACAGGAGCGGGCCCAGCCTCCTCACCCAGTCAAAGGCATATGATTTCACACCATGTCTCAGAGCTGTTTGGATACATAGACAAGTGCTTTTTTTAGGTTCTAAAATGCTTAGTTATTGTGTTTACATTTATTTTCCATGTCATCTCCTTGGACAGCTTCCACCTAGGAATTTGGTTATGATGGGGCTGTTAGGTTAAGTCTATACCCACATTGAAGGCTTTCTGGTTTAAGACATTTTCCTATCTCTTCCAAACCCTCTCAGATTTTAAGAGCATTTGAAATCTGGCATAGCATCTACATGGACAATATTGCAAGATGACTTACTGAGCAAGTCCTATCAGTTTTTTCCCATCTTTCCCAACATCTAGATAACTAACATCTGTACTCTCAATTGTGCAATTCCATTTGCTTTGGAAATAAAAGCCTGCTGTTAACCTCAAAATGCCAGGGGACGCCTCACCATGGACAGGTCTGTGCATCAAGGGCTTTCCTGAGTTGTTCTGCGGACTGTCCCTTTAGGAGGCCTTTTTCTTTGCTGAAGCTGGCTGCATTTTATGAAGTGGTCTCTGGCACATTACACCTTTCCTTCCTCCCTGACTCCCTACTATCTTCTGGCTGTAAATCAGTTTTTTTAAAATTTTATTTTATGGTAACTCATAGAAAGAAATACCCTTTGGATTGCTGCCTGATACACACACACACATACACACACACACACAGACGTGTGGATGTGTGAGCAGAGCCACAAGTACCCCTAATATTACTCTGTACGCTAGAGAGAAAATTACAAAGGAAATGTAAGATGTGGCTTCATTCATGCTTATTGTTCTATTTCATTTCCCAAAGTTGCTGGCTGTGACCCTCTAGATCGATCTCAGAACACATTTCTGGACCGTGTTCAGTAGTTTAAAAAATACTGTAAGGTACAGCATAAGGAATATGGTCAGTGATATTCTAATAACGAGGCATGGTGCTGGATGAGTACCAGATTTGTTGGGTGTGATCACTTGTTAATTTATGTCTGGCCACTGAAACGAACATAATGATGTATGTCAACTGTAAACTGAAAGTAGACAATGATAAAAAAAAAATACTACTTCAAAAAGGGAAAAGTCTAAACATATGCAATAAAGTTAGCTGACATTTATTGAGTGCTTTCTATGTATCAGGAATGATTTGTGTAATCCAAGTAACAACCTCTGATATTCCATTTCATGGATGTGGAAATGGAGGCACAGAGAAGTCTGGAAGTTGCTCCAGGGCCCTTGGATAGGACTTGGCCAAGCAGGGATGTGCCTAGGAAGTCAGGAGGCACCTTAACCACTGCACTATCCTGCTTCCTGAGGGAGGACAGTGGGTCGGTCTCTTCTGTGAGCCCCGTCTTTCACCCACTCTCCGGGTGTGATGGTTGGAACTTCTCAGCTGACTGGCAGTGCCTGGGTGGGGATTCTACTGTCAGCGGGTGTGTTCCTGTGCCTGCGTCGTCGGGCCTCTTGTTTGAAGTTCAGGTTCTGCTTTGTATGTAGACCCATCGCTACAATGTCGCATTCGCCTGCCGTGCGGCTTTGTGAGGCCCTCGGCTGGAGGTAGAAGCTGCAGCTTAGCATTTGGCCTGTGGATTATTTGGTGAAACACCATTTGTGTATTTGAGAATGAATAGCATTTTAAACAAAACTGCTTTAAGAAATCTCCATAAAGTCAATCTG